CCACTGTACTCCAGTCTGGGTGACAGAGTGAGACTCCAACAAAAAAAAAAGGGGAGGGGGGGAAGATTTGGCCAAAAAAAATTATGAGAAGCAAATAGTTGAGTTTGGTATTTAGCAAGACTCATGAAAATGGTTCTCAAATGTTTGGAGTTTGGCAAAAAGTGGCTTTTAAGTCTAAGCTTCTCAACCAAAATACCAACCAGCCCTCCAGGCTTAAGCCCTGACCCGGCCCCACTGTCCTCTCCTTACCTTACTCCAGTCCCTGACTTCACCCAGTCCCTGGCTCTGTCCAGTCCCTGATTGCCCAGTTCCTGACTCTGCACAGTCCCTGAACACCTGGGTGTTTCTAGCTTCTCTGCCTTGGCACATGGGGTGTCCTCAGCTTGGAATTCTCATTCCCTCAGCAACTTTTTGTCCATTATATCTACTCTTATTTATTATGAAAACCCAGCTCAGTCACCACCTCGGGAAGCCCTCCCTGACCACCTCTCACTCTGAGTTAACGGTTTTCTCCTCTGTGTTACCTTGTATCCTTTTCGAACCTATACCAGTATCCTTCCCATTCTGTACTGTCTTCATTTTTACTGTATTTGTTTGCCCAAATCTGTGAGCAACTTGAAGGCAGTGACTTGGTCTTATTCATGTCTTATCCCTCTGTGCCCAGGTCAGAGTCAGTCACAATGATCAACTGGTGAAGTGATTTGACTTGATATATACTTTGTCTAAAGTGGGAGTTGGTATCTCCTAAATAGATCAGCAAACCACAGCTGGAGGAACAAAGCTGGCCCACCATCTGCTTTTTTTTTTGAGTTGGAGTCTCACTCTGTCGCCCAGACTGGAGTGCAGTGGCCGCTCCCGGCCACCGCAGCCTCGACCTGCTGGGCTCCGGCGATCCTTCTGCCTCAGCCTTCCCAGTAGCCGGAATTACAGGCATGCGCTACCACGCCCGGCTGATTTTTTGATTTATTGTAGAGATGAGGTCTTGCCAAGTTCCCCAGGCGGGTCTCGAACCCGCAGGCTCAGGCAATCCACTCACCTCGGCCTCCCAAAGTGCTGGGATTACAGGCTGAGCCACCGAGCCCGGCTCCATCTGTTTTTGTAAATAGAGTTTTATTGAAACAAAGCCTCGCTCGTCTTTATTATCTGTGACTGCTTTCGTGCATAGTTGAGTAGTGGCAACAGAGACCATAGGCCCCACAAAGCCTAAAAGATTTACTACCAGACCCTTTAAAATAAATGTTTGCCCGTCCCTGTCTTAAAGGACAACAGGCCTGTTTGGACTGGGAGGGGTGAGAGAGTTGGGGGCTCTGGGCACGTGGTGGGGACATCAAGGTGGGCAGAGGACTGGGAAGTCCCTGTGTGTGAGCACCTTCCCGGGAGTCCAGGGCCGTGGTTTGCAGTTGTGCCCACCTGCTGTGTGACCTCATGTGGAGAACTCTGGGTAAGTGCACGACCCAGGAAGGAGCCCTTCCTCTCCGCAGGGATAACCGAGATGCTCAGCACATGCTGGAGAGGGACCTGGAAGACAAAGGCTCCGCCCAGTTCATTGACGAGAAGTGCTTCAACCTGAGAAACACATCCGACTGCATCAGCTTCTTCCACGGCATGGAGAAAGTTGACGGCACGTAAGTATGGGGCTCTCTGACCCCAGCCCTGGCCTGTCCACCTGGAGTGAGGCTTTCTGCTCCTGCCCAGGAAAGACAAAGTGGCCACGTGCCCCAGTCCAGTGAGAGGCGGTGTGGCTGAACAGGGAGACTCTGTTGCAAGTGACAGAATCCACGTCTGACTGTCTTCACACAAGATGGAGTGCACCCGAAGGCTGTGGGGGAGCCACACACTCAAGGGGAGGGCTGGAGGGGACGTCCTGGCAGCTTGAGCAAGTCAAAGAGGGGGAGCCAGTCAGCACCCTCAGCTTTTCCTCTTCATCCTACCTCACTTAAGATCCCGTTTTTTAGAAAGAGAGTGTGTGACTGGCTTAGTGAGGGTCACATGGCCACCGCCGCTCAGCAGTTCCACCAAACAGATGTTTTGTTTGGTTTTTGGTGTTTGAATCAGAGTCTCACTCTGTCACCTAAGCTGGAGTACAGTGCCACGATCACAGCTCCCCACAGCCTCGACTTCCTGGGCTCAGGCGATTCTTCTACCTCAGCCTCCCAAGTCACTGGGACTACAGGTGTGCACCACCATGCCTAGATAGTTTTTTTTTATTTTTTTATTTTTTGCAGAGACGAGGTCGCTCTACATTGCCAGGCTGGTCTCAAACTCCTGGACTCAAATGATTCTCCCTCTTTGAGCTCCCAAAGTTCTGGGATTATAGGCGTGAGTCACCACGCCTAATTCCAAAACAAAGTGACAAACTTGCAGGGAGAGCCTACTGACACCGCTGGCAAAGGGTGGTTTAGGATCATGGGTTCTGGAACTGGCTAAAAGGCTTCAAACCCCAGCTCTGGCTGACACTGGGTGAGTGACTTCCTTTCTTTGGGCCCTGTTTCTGCCTCTGTGCCACTGGAAGAAAACTAGAACCCGCTTCCCAGGGCTGCTGTGAGTATAAAAGTGGGTGTGCGATGCTGTGAGCACAGAGCCTAGTGCTAAATAGTAACAGCCAGCGTTTACTGAGTGCTTGCTGTGTGACATCATCTTCTCATCACGGCTGCTAGGAGGTAGGTGCCTTCTGGATGCCCGGCACTGTTGTGGGTATGTCACAGCACTGTGGGATCTCCATGCTCGCAGTCAGCTGTCCGAGGTCTGAGATCATGTCAGCTGGACAGAGGGATGCTCTGGGTGCAGGCAGAGGGTGGGGTCTGTCTTGGGTCTGCTCACCCCCCCTTGTGAAAATCTCTAGCACGTAGAATCGTGCTTGGTGCGTGTGGGTGTGCACTGAATGGGTGTTGAATGAAAGGATGAATGACAGGAGGAAGGGAAGCAAGGGGGTGGGTGGAGAAGGAAGGTGATCCTTGCCAGTCTCTGTGGCCCAAACCTAGGGTCGCCTTCTGGATATTAGCAAAGATTGCAGTGTTAAGCGGATCCTTTGGGATTTCCAGCAGTGGCACCTCCTGGTGTCTCTCCTCTTCTTGATAAGGTGGATTCTCCATGGCTCTGGTAAGGTGAAGAGATCTGGTCTCTCATCTGCACAGAGTCAGAGGGTCTCTCTTCCTAAACAGATGCCTCCCCAGGAACCAGGCAGCCAGACTGCCCGGCAGAGGCTGCCACTTCCTCGCCAGGGAGGAGCCTGCTATTCCAAGCCCCTCCTCTGGTGACTCCATGTGGAAAGCTGTCGTTGGTGGTGACTAATCATTCCCCAGATATGCTAGCTCACGGCTTTGTGTAGGGGGTTTTCTTAAAGCAGGGCCGTGTCTGGGCAGATTAAAGAGGATGTTTGGTGACTGGATTTCAGCATCTCTGTTCACTGCAGTCCTCCTTCCCATGGGTCGACTGATGGCGATGATGATGATAAAACGGTGATGACGATGATGATGTTGGCGACAGTAGCTATCTTTCTTTGTGAGTGTGAGATGGGGTCTGACTTTGTGGCCCAGGCTGGGGTGCAGTGGCACGACAGTAGTTCACTGCAGCCTTGACCCCCTGGGTTCAAGTGATCCTCCCACCTCAGCCTCCTGAGCAGCTGGAACCACAACTGCATGCCACCACACCTGGATAGTTTTCAAATTTTTTGATAGAGATGGGATCTTGCTATGTTGTCCAGACTGGTCTTGAACTCCCAGGCGCCAGCGATCCTCCCGCCTTGGCATCCCAAAGTGCTGGGATTACCGGCGTGAGTCACTGTGCCCAGCTGGATAGCCACAGATACCATTGACCGATGTTTGCTACATGCTAGACACTATGCTGAGCGTTTCACATGCAGTGTCTCATGAATAATAAACATTCATTGAGAACTTACTGTGTGTTCACATTTAGTCACTCAGCAACCCTGGGGTGTCATTATTATTCCTATGTCACAATGAGGAATCTAAGGCTCAGAGAACTGAAGCGACTGACTCAAGCTCACACAGCAAATGGCAGAGCCGTGATCTGAGCCTATGCTGGACACTGGGCCTGTATGTCTTACCAGTGGTGCCTTCCTGCCTCCCCTGCTGCCCGCTCCATCTCCAGAGGATGTGGGCTCCAGAAAGCCCTGGAGAGGGGACAGGTTGTCTTTGGCAAATTCCTCCAGGAAGAATGTGATTAAGTGGGCTATTTTCTCTGGGGAGCTCAGCTGTCTGCTGCGAGGAGGGCCAGGACTTGGAGGCTGCCATTGATAACACAATGCATGTGCTCAGAGCGAATCTGCTGGGTTCTATCTGCGGTCCTGGTATCTCCTTGGTGTGTAACTGTGCAACCTTGGGTGAGAGTCTTCAACTCTCTGAGCCTCAGGTCTTGGGTGAATGAAAGCTCTGAATCAGATGCAGTGCCCTCTCCCATCTCCAGAAGCCTGAGACCCCTGTTTATTGCTTGACTTTATTTTTAAATTTATTTTTATTTCTTTTTTTGAGTTAGAGTCTCACTCTGTTGCCCAGGCTGGAGTGCAGTGGCACACTCTTGGCCACCGCAGCCTCGACCGGCTGGACTCAGAGGATTCTTCCGCTTCAGCCTTCCAAGTAGTTGGAACTACAGGCATGTGCCCCCACGCCCAGCTAATTTTTATTTATTTATTTAATTATTTGATTTGTTGTAGAGATGAGGTCTCACCAACTTGCCCAGGCTGGTCTTGAATCTATGGGCTCAGGCAACCCTCTAGCCACCACAAAGCGCTGGGATTACAGGCATGAGCCACCGCGCCTGGCTATTGCTTGACTTTAAAGTCCTGCAAAAGTCAGGCAAAACTGTCACATACCTATGTGATTTTTAAAATTTCTATTCATCACAAAACCTAAGAGTGCTTTAAAATGTCCGAAAAGAGAGTTCCATTTCAAAAATCAGACTCTTTTTTTCCTGCTGCCTGATAATAAAAATCTGTTTTATTTCAGAATGGAGGCTTCCCGGGCCAGAAAGCCCTTGGGAAGGTCTCTAGCCTGGTTTCCCTGGGTGGGGCCTGAAGTCAGCTCAAGGCCAGCAGGCCCATCCTCAAGGGTTTCCCGGAGGACAGAGCCCCATGCAACCCACTGGTTTCTTGTTGCAAGGATTTATGTGCACTGCCGGAAGAACTTTATGTTGCCTAAACTGAGGTGTTCTTTCTGTGTCACCACCTCCGAGAAGCCTTCCCTGCCTGACCATTCTCTCCATTCATCCTCCCAGACCCGTACTCTAGCTGCCCTCTGTGTGGCCTGCAGAGGAAGCTGTCCTCTGGAAGGCCTCTCCTGGGTTCAGTTTGGAGGAGGGGCCGGACAGTGGAGAGAGAAATTTTCGAGGGGGACCAGAATCTATTCATAAAAAGTGTGGGCAGGCCGGGCATGGTGGCTCACGTCTATAATCCCAACACTTTGGGAGGCCAAGGTGAGAGGATTGCCTGAGCCCATGGGTTCGAGACCAGCCTGGGCAACTTGGCAAGACCTCATCTCTACAATAAATCAAAAAATTAGCCAGGCATGGTGGCGTGTCCCTGTAGTTCCAGCTACGTGGAAGGCTGAGGCAGAAGGATGGCCTGAACCCAGCAGGTCAGGATGTGGTGGCCGTGAGCGTGCCACTGCACTCCAGCCTGGGTGACAGAGTGAGACTCCAACTAAAAAAAAAAAGTGTATTTTTACTCTCCCGTGTTTACACTCAGTCACCTTCCAAGGACTCTCCATGTGATGCAGTCCACTTATCGAGGTGCTTTCCCACTGCTCAAAATGGTTTTTCAACTTGTCCATTTTGATACCTTTTGGTGCTTCTGTTGTTTTTTGTTTGACCTCTTCCACGTCGGCTACGTGTTTCCCTTTGAGGACTCTTTCATGCAGGGAAACAAACAAACAAAAAATGTGTTTGGGTGAGGGTAGGTGAACAGGGAGGATGGGGCACCAGGGTCATGCCGGTTTTGGTCAAAAACTGCTGAACACTCAGCTTAGCGTGGGCAGGTATGCTTATAAATTACCCACCATGAACTGGGCAAACGTGTTGAAAGACTCTCAAAAAGAAACACACTGAACCTGAGCACAGCCCCTCACAGTGCTAGTTGGTGCACTGATGCCAATGGGTTCCTAGAACATGTACCTGGTGGGGGAAGCTGCACTACAAGGGCCCGTCCTCCAAAAAGATAATTCCAGTTCTTTTGGGTCCCCCTCGTATTCTCCCTGCTTCCTCCCACTCTGTCCCAGGCACCGTGGTCCACCTTGATGCCTCTTCCCTGGCCCTTGCAACACCTACTGCTTCCTTCCTCTTCCAGCTGGGGTAGGGACAGCTTCATGCATTTTCTCTCTCTTTCCCACTCTCCTTCCCTCTCCCCCTCCCCCTCCCTTCCGCCCTTCCTCCTCCCCAGGCTGGTAGCACGATCATGCCTCACCACAGCCTTGACTTCCTGGGCTGAAGTGATCCTCCCACCTCAGCCTACAGGCATGCCATCACGCCAAGCTCATTTTTCTGTTCTTTGAAGAAAAGAGGTCTCACTATGTTACCCAGGCTGGTCTCGAACTCCTGGGCTCAAGCAGTCCTCCCACCTTGGCCTCCCAGAGTGCTGGGATGACAGGCGTGAGCCGCCACACCCAGCCGGCTTCGTGCTTTCATGTATCTTCTAATCCCGGAGCACCTCAACACACTTCCAGGATTCCATCTGTTTCCTCTGCAACACTGGCCGACACATAATGGCCTCACTCCATTCGTCTGTCTCTTATCCTCCTGCTTCTGAATCCCTTCACAGCACCGAACACAGCGTGTCAATGTCCTTATTCATTGTGGCTCTTCCTTGTCTGGAAATCCATTGCCATGAGGACAGGGATGCTTCCGTTCTTGTTCCTGGCTCTGTCTCAAGTGCTTAGGACAACGCCTGGCCGGTGTTCAGAACACATTGGTTGAGTGAATGTCAGTGAAAGCAGCATGGCCATGTGTTCACCACGAGTGGGAGGGCCCCTGAGCCGCGGTGCTGCCCTGTGCCTGCATCGTGGTCTGTGTTTTTGGCGGTGGGGGCAGGGAGTGTCAGGGAAAGAACTCTCTGGGGAGCCCCTCCTTCCTGCCAGTTCACTGATTGCCCTTCTGAAAGCCAGCTGCTCCCTTGGGGCTGCTCCTGTCTTCCTGGAAGGTGAGGGGGTGGGATCGGGACAGGGGTTGCCAGTGGGGGGTGGTTGCACCCTGTCCCCAAGGGGCATTTTTGGCTGTCACAGTTGGATTGGGGAGCCACTACATCTGATGGGTAGAAACCAGGGAAGCTTCTAAACATCTTCCAACACACAGAGCAGAGGATGACCCATCCAAAGGCCAGGGCTGTGGGGTGGAGAAGCCCCGGGCTGGGCAGGTATCAGGGCCTGCCACGACTTGCCCTCGTCCTTGCAGGATCTCCGTGCCCGAGACCTGGGCCAAGTTCAGCAACGACAACATCAGGCACTCTCAGAACATGCGGGCCAACTCCATCCGCCTGCGGGAGGAGGCGGACCACCTCTTGGAGACTCTTTCGGATCAGATGTGGAAGCAGTTCACGGACACCAACCTGGCCTTCAACACCCGCATCTCGGAGGTGATGGATGTGAAGAACAAGTTGCAGACACAGCTGGCCAAGGTGAGCAGACATGTCTCGGGCTTCTGTCTCCTCTGCTAGACCTCTGACACCCCCATGAGTCTTAGGGGCATCCAGGCCAAGCTGCCCCCTCCCCTGGTGCCAAAAGGGTTCTATCCATCCTGAAGTCCACCATCTTGTCCACTCCAAAGGGGGCCAGGGGCTGTGAGCTTCCTGGGGGATTTCAGCATCTGGGGTTAGTCCTCCCTTACTCCCTGGGGCATGGAGCTCAGGGCTGGTCTGGCTGTCATCACAGCACTAAGAGGCTACTGACATTCCCAGGGCCCCTCATTCTCTGTCTGAGGTCCTGGTGGCTGAGCAGGACAGGTACAGAGGATGGAGTCCTCGGAGGCCATTGTCCCTACACTTTGCCACCTTTAGAAGTGTATAACCTTTGCTGGGCATGGTGGCTCATGCCTGTAATTCCAGCACTTTGGGAGGCAGAGGCAAGAGCATTGTCTGGGCCCAGGGGTTCAAGACCAGCCTGGGCAACTTGGTGAGACCTCATCTCTACAAGAAATATAAAAATTAGCCAGGCATGGTGGCATGTGCCTGTAGTTCCAGCTACTTGGAAGGCTGAGGTGGAAGGATTGCCTGCAGTTTGAGGCTTCGGTGGCTGTGAGCGTGCCACTGCACTCTAGCCTGGACGATACAGTGAGACTCTGACACACACACACAAAGAAGTGTAACCTTGGGCTTTCAAAAACCTCAGCAGCCCCTCCACATAAAGCTCTCCTGCCAAGGGGTGGGATGCTTCCTGAATGTGGTGCCATGGTAGGACCACTCGCCTCTGCTCTCTGCCTGTGGCTCCCAACAGCAGCATGCCCTGGGGGCTCCCCTCTTCTCTGAATGCTGCTACACATTCTCTGTGGGCCCCTCCAGAGTCCTCTCTGCATGTACTTCTTCCTCCCTATTCCTGTAAATGTCAGTGACTACTGGGTGCCAGATGCTGAGCCAGGGGCCACACAAACGCGGTCCCTGTCTTCCAGGGACTAACATTCTGGTTGGGAACAGTGGTGGCTATGAAATGTATACACAGTAGGGACTGAGGGATGACAATCTGGTTGGGGGTCAGGGAGACAGGGAACTCGCCTGGATAGTCCCTCCCGTGTGTGTGTGTGTGCGTGTGTGTGTGTTGGAGTCTCACTCCATCGCCCAGGCTGGAGTGCAGTGGTGTACTCAGGGCCACCCCAGTGTCAACCTGCTGGGCTCTGGCGATCCTTCCACCTGAGCCTTCCAAGTAGCTGGAACTATAGGCGTGCATACCATGCCTGGCTAATTTTTATTATTATTATTATTTATCTTAGAGACGAGGTCTCACTATGTTGCCCAGGCTGGTCTCGAACCCGCACTCAGGCAATCCTCTAGCCTAGGCCTCCCAAAGTGCTAGGATTACAGGTTTGAGCCACTGTCCCTGGCAATAGTCCTTCTTTTTATCATGCCTGCATTCGGAGAGGTTTGGGGGCTGCAGGCAGAAACTGATGGAAATCACAGGGGCAACTTCAGCCCAGCCACATCTGCCACCCTCTGGTCTGGTGCCCCTGGGAGATGAAACAGCTGTGTCTTAAAATCACTGCAGCATTGTTGGGAGGGAATAAGAAGGGGCCAGCCAGAGATTCCCACAGGGCAGGGCCCACACGGGGTGGGGCAAACAGGCGGGGACAGGTGAAAACTGAATCAGGCAGCCAAAGGCCGGTGGGAAGATTGTTCTGGAGAGGGCAGCAAGGCGAAAGACAGTCCAGAGTCGGGGGAAAGGGCAGGCTCAGGCCACGTAGACCTGGGGAAGGCTCTGGATCCCCTTCTGATGGAAGGCAGAGCTGCTGGGTACCTTTACCAAGCATTTTCCCAACCCGAGAGCAGGTTGGTGAACTTTTCTATATATGGCCAGATGATGGATGTTTTCAGCTTTACCATCATATGGTTTCTGCCTGTGTATGGCAGAAGCAGCCATCATGTACACACATGGGTGTGGCTGCGTTCCAATAAAACTTTATTTATAAAACCAAGCAGTGGACTGGTTTTGGTCTACAGGTTGTAGTTTTTTTTTGTTTTTTGTTTTGTTTTTGAGTCAGAGTCTCATTCTGTTGCTCAGACTGGAGTGCAGTGGCACGCTCACGGTCACCACAGCCTTGACCTGCTAGGCACAAGCAATCTTTCCGCTTCAGTCTTCCAAGTAGCTGGAGCTACAGGAGCATGCCACCATGCCTAGCTAATATTTTGATTTTACTGTAGAGACAAGGTCTTACCAAATTGCTCAGGCTGGTCTTGAACCCTTGGGCTCAGGCAATCCTCTCGCCTCCACCTCCCAAAGTGCTGAGATTACAGGTGTGAGCATATTCTCTCCACTTTTACAATCTTTGAAATTTTCTTTATTTTCTTTAAAAGTCAGAGTGTCACCCTGTCACCCAGGCTAGAGTGCAGTAGCATATTCACAGTCACCACAGCCTCAACCTGCTGGACTCAGGCGATCCTTCTGCCTCAGTCTTCTGAGTAGCCGAAACCACAGGAATGAGCCACCATATCCAGCTGATTTTTTGATTTATTGTAGAGATGAGATCTCATCATGTTGCTCAGGCAGGTCTCAAACCCCTGAGCTCAGGCAATCCTCTCACCTCTGCCTCCCAAAGTGCTGGGGTTTCAGGTGTGAGCCACCACATCTGGCCTTCCTGGCACTCTTCACGCCTTTGTGCATCGAGTGGAAGGAATCTACAATGTTGAGCTTTGTACTGATGTCTTTTTTAAAAATGATGCACGTAGTCAGGCATGGTGGCTTAAACCTGTAATCCCAGTACTTTGGGAGGCTGAGGTGGGAGGATTGCTTGAGATCAGAAGTTCAAGGCCAGCCTGGGCAACATAGTGAGATCATTATCTCTATTTTTTTCAAAATGCTTTTAATTTCCTCCCTCCCTTCCTCTTTCTCTTTCTTTCTTTCTTTTGTGTGTGTGTGTGTGTGTGTATGTGTGTGTGTGTGTGTGTGTGTGTGTGTGTGTGTGTGTATGTGTGTGTGTATGTGTGAAACCTCATTTTTTATTGTGGTAGAACACATGTAACATAAAACTTATCATTTTAACATGTTTTCAGGACACAGTCTAGTAGTATTAAAAACACTCACATTGTTACGCAACCATTACCACCATCCATCTTCCCAAACTAAAACTCTGTACCCATAAAACGCTAACTCCCCGTTCCTGCTCCCCCTAGCCCATGGCAACCACCATTCCACTTTTTGTCTGTCTGAATTTGACTATTTAGGGACCTCATATATGTGGGATCATACAGTACTTTTTCTTCCATGAGTGGTTTATTTCACTTAACATAATGTCCTCAAGGTTCAGAATCAGTTTCTCCATCTGTGGACACTGGGTTGCTTCCACCTTTTGGTTCCTGTGCAAGTGTTTCCTTTAAATGAAACCTTTTATATGGTGGATCAATGTAGTTTATGGTCATAACTCATTTTGCGAAGCTTGTGGCCTGGCTTGGGAGGCCACAAGGGCTTAGCCCCTTGTGTTGGATGTTGGTAGCTGGTTTCTCTCTGTAAAACAAGGAGTGAGAATTCCTACCTGGTAAAGTTACTGTGAGTATTTGTGAGTGGATCTCTGTGGAGCTTTTAGAACAGAGCTTGGCTATGATAAACACCAATAAAAAGATAGCTATAAGTATTAGCAATAATCGATGGAGAGGAAAAGAATCTTGGGTGGAGGTGGGGGAACAAAATCTTTTCCCTTTCAAAATTCCTCCAGGGAAGCTTTGAATGATAACTAGCAGTCTCATCAATGTGGACCCAAGAGTTTTTGCAACCTCATGGATTTTTATTAATCATCATAATTTAATCACCAGCTGCTTTGGAAATAAGCCAGCACCTGCATGAAATATACTAAACCCCAGTCCAACACCATAAACATTTGCTGAGCAAAGGTTTGCCGTCTGGTTGGTGACCATCTTACCCGAGGTTTTTCAAAGATAATCACATAAGCTGATGCAAGGGAGATACATATATAGCGAGCATTTCACATTTCAAGACTTAAAATGCTCTCTTGAAACATTTAACTGTTATTAGTTGAGCTCACCTGATTCTCCTTGGCAAGAGGCGTTTCTGGGCAATTCCAGGCCCCCATTCTCACCTGAGCTGCAAGGTCATTATCTCCCAAGTAGTCCATAGGAATCCACTTTTTGTTTTGTTTTTTTGAGATGGAATCTCACTCTGTCACCCAGGCTGGAGTGTAGTAGCACGCTCATGGTCACCACAGCCTCCACCTGCTACGCTCAGGCGATCCTTCTGCCTTAGCCTTCCAAGTAGCTAGAATTGTAGACATGTGCTACCCTGCCTGGCTAATTTTTTGATTCATTGTAGAGACAAGGTCTCCCCAAGTTGCCCAGGCTGGTCTAGAACCCCTGAGCTCAGGCAATCCTCTCGCGTCAGTCTCCCAAAGTGCTGGGATTACAGGCTTCAGCCACCATGCCCGGCCACTTTGTAAGGCCAGGTCTACATGACTCCTCATGCAGTGTTTTGGGACTGTGTAGACAGCCTCATCTGCTCACTGTCATCCTAGAGTTCCACCTCCAAGCCACAGCCCAAACCTTATAACTTGCCCTGTGACCTCGACCTCACAGTAGTACTTTGAGGCTCTGGAGTATGTCCCAGTCATATTGAACACTGAGGGACTGGTGACTTCCCTGGATGAAGACGTTGGTGACTTTGAAGGCTGATTCTTCTGAGAGCCAGGGCCCTGGGAACCTCCAGATAACACCTACATCCAACGATGCAGTTGAATGTACATTCTAAGGGGGATGCTTAACGTGAGGGAAAAGACACACAAATGTGCCTTTCAGAGAGAGGATGTCAGCGACAGGGATGCTGCTATATAAAGTGCTTATTTGGAGGCTGGGCATAGTGGCTCAAGCCTGTAATCCCAGCACTTTGGGAGGCCAGGGCGAGAGGATTGCTTGGGCAACTTGGTGAGACCTCAACTCTACAATAAATAAAAAAAAATTAGCTGGGTGTG